GGGTTGTCTCGTGTCGAGCCTTTGGGGACAATGTTTCTTCTACAAGACATTGCTTTCTAGGGTCCATCCTCATGTTGAGGTGTCTATGTTGCTGGTTTGTTCAAAGTGCATGTTATTTGGGGCCAGGATTAGAGGACAATCGACTAATTTACAGTTCTTCAAACCCCTTAACTACTGTGTGTTTGACTAACACCTCCGTGTCACTAAGCCCAGACTCCTCTTGTTGCCTCGTCCAAACCCACCAACACCGTGCTCGCACGGCACGAGCCACCCGATCCTCGTTGGGGCGGACTGAACTTGGCCGGCTTGGCCGGCTCCGCCTGCCGCGATCGGGACATGCGGCCAGGGAGTCGGTGGCGACATGAACTAATTGAGGTTGTACGGATGGAGATTGATGAAGTAATGATTTATTTCTCAGGTCTGTGTGAAGAGATGAGACGAGACATCTCGCCTGAGGCGCTTCCTCCTTGGCCTCTGCCTTGGCCTCACGGAGCACCCACAAGCAGACTGAACACGGATGTTTTAAATGGTTGAAAGTGAACATGTCAAAAGGCTTCAAAAGGCTTTATGTTTCCTGGAGGAAAAACTGGTCATGGTCTTTGGAATGCTACAAAAAACATACAAAAACCTCTTCTGTGCGTCTCGCACCACACACACACACACGACTACACAGTGGGCAATGGAATGAAGTGCTTTCGAATGTTGGTGGAGCATCCAAGGCTCAGCTTGCTTATGGCCGTGTTAGGGTCTCTGTGCTCAGCACATGTTGCCGGGCTAAGGCAGAAGAAGAGATGACTCATTGATCTGACAACCAAGGCCGAATTCATGGGCCATGCTCCGAAAAACTCATGGGCCCTTTTCTACTAAAATCATGGCAGGATAGAGTGTGTATGATGGACCTTTTTACTTTCAGAACCGAGAGAAAGAGAGAAAGAGAGGGAGAGAGAGAGAGAGAGGAGCGAGAGAGTGAGCGCGCGCACAAGCGACGCAAGCCTTGGGATGATGCTTCAAAGGATCCAGAATACCTAGAACAGTGCCAACCTTATAGCAACGATACTGCACTGATGCGCATAGATGTTCCCATACTGTAGAAACATGAACACAAAAGAAATCAGGGAGGAATGGTGGTAGATCAGATGCGGGGCCAAGGTCGTGACGCAGATCGGCCAAGGTCGTTCCCAAAGTTAAACAACCCAGTTGGTCGGAGAAGCGAAAACGAAGCAGAACCGAGTCCCCCAATCCACCAATCGGTGCCAGGCAGGTTGACCGACCCCCCAACAAAACCTGGTGCCAGACAGGGTGGCGAAGCTCTGCGAAGCTTGTCGTATCTTGGGGTGCAACGACGCCTACGATGAGAGCTATGTATGGAGCAATTCACTGACAGTCATCCTTCCTGGGCTGAATTGCTTGCAAGTTCGGAGGGTATGGCTGTCCTTCACCTTGAGCATCTTGCATCACTGTGGGCGACATTCGTTTCATCAACTGCCCATTCCTTTCATCAAAACCTGGGAGCGGATATGAGTGGAATTGAGTGGATGATGCGAACGATCTCGGAGTCTCATGGAGTCTCAGGAAGTCTCAGAGGCCTTCTTCTTCCGAGCATTCCGGGAAGAAGTGCTAGGATTGGAGGCCTGGCAGGGCAAGTCGTGGCTATTTCTTTGCGTAATACCCCATTGATCCCAATTGTTCTCATCGTTTGTATCCTGGACCTTTGTCCAATGGATCGAAGACACATATCTGATCCTTCGCAGCCGGTCAGCAGCTGGCAATTCATAAATGTTCGATCATGTTCGTATATCTTCATACATTCAGGTAGATAGGTCCCACCAAGTAGTTAACTCATTAACTTGATGTATATACAACTTTTATATAACTCATTCAGGTGGGACCCATCCCCATCTCACAAGACCCACTGCTTGGAGTAGCCTGCTTCACGAAGTCGGCCGCCGATGCACCGGGCGGCAGGTGGATGGGTACCGGCGCAGGCCCGCCCACCTGCGCGGGGCCCTAGCTACATCCAAAAATAGCCCCTCAGAACTCTTGGCTCAAATCCCAAGGACGGTTTCTTGAAAAAGAAAACATAAATACACCGCCTGTTCTTAGATTTGAGCCAAGAGTCTTCGGAGGAGGGTAGCTTAGTTCCTTGCAGCCTGGTCATGTGGCGCCACAGCGCGCGCCTTGGTCGCGGTGGTCGCCGCATCCGCCGCTGTAGAGCCCAGCTCCTGTGGTCGCTGGTGTTCCAGCAAGGTGGGGGAAGAGATGGTCTGACCCACCTAGATCCTGGGGAGTCGGTGCAAGGTCAAGGTTCGTTCCATTTCAGATGTTCACTCGGCTCCATCCTCGCGGCTCCGGGCTCCGCGCCTTTCGAAGCTGTTCGGCCAAAGCACCTCCCCGGGCTCCGGGAGGCCTTTCCCACGCGGTCTCCGCAAGCACCGCGGGTAAAAGTGGACAGCACATCAATACGAGGAGCAAGGACGCTACTAGGGGCTCCTGGCCTTACTACTAGGAGCAAGAAGCTACTAGGAGCAAAGGACATCGCTACTAGGAGCAAGGACGCTACTAGGGTCAATGTTTGGTTTGGTGACATGTTTGGTGAATGGGACAGAGTATGGAGTCGATTTCTCCATGTTTGGTCGTCCTGATTGACGATCTGTCATAATCTGTCCAGGACGTTTTTTTCAAGGGATAAACAGATGTCCCTAGAATTCCTACACAAGCACGAGTTTTGGCTCATGTGAACTATATATACTCTCATCACAACTCTGCCCAGTTAAGAGAGCCATCAACTCCTCGGATCATAACGGATCCCACGCGTATCGCGGGAAAACGGGGGAACACATGAAAACATGGTGAATGGGGTGGCCTTTCAAGTCTGCCTTTGCAGGGGGTCTCTATGACTCGGAGTCACCTATCTTTCCATATTAGCAAGTTTGAAAGGTGGCTGTTAATCACAGAATGGGTGGCAGGATCGAAATGGATTATATAGAACCTAAAGCAAACTCTGTCATGCAAACATTCTATGCAGTGAGCCCATAAGTGTTGGGGAAGTTATGATCCATGATCGCTCATCCCAACGAGGCCAATATTCTCCAAGGATGAAAACGCTTGGTAAAATGTCCTAATGTTTGAGAACCAATGGTTTTCAACGGCACCCTCACCAAGAAAGAAAATGACAAATCCACAAAGCAGCAGAAAGCAGCTTACACCTGGCCTAAAGGGAACACGTGTGGTGTTCTTCAAACCTTTTGGAAACCAAAGAACGCCTCAACGGATGTGCTGCTAGTCCAAACGGTTGATATGGCAAATCCACACATTAAATCCAGTGAGCATTAATAGATTATACAATAGGAAGTAGCCACGCATTGTATATCAGCGCCGAGTGCCAAAATGAACAAAATGATCGTTCCCCCTTGAGGAAAACTTCTGCGAGTTTCCAGGAGATTCGTCAAACGCATAAGCCTCTGCAGAACCCACTTGTGATGTTTGGGGATCTACTGAAAAAGCAAGATCCATTGACCATGCATCCAACACTTCTGGGACACCATCCATAGCACCCGGGCGGATAGACACTTGCCTGTAGGCCGTGGCCTTTGGCTTTGCCGCAGCCTGGCCGTTGGCTGTGCAACTCACACGCGAAAGCACGAGGCAACCATACGAGACCCACATCCACCGGGGCGCAATGCGTGGTTCTTTTCAGAAGGCATATGCCAAGGAAGGAAATGGGTCACTAGGGCAAACAAAGAACTTGCTCAAGAGCCGCTCAAGTGATTGAGAAATCCAAACTGCCTCTTCCGCAGCAAGTCGAAACTTGTTGCTTCTGCGTACCCTTTTCAGCAAAATCAAGACCTTTCACGTAAAGTGTGCAGAGTAGTGTGGGGTCCAGTGCATCACAACAAGGTCATGTATGGCGAGATCTATCGCATTGGCATTCTAAGTTTGTTTTAAAAAAAAACATGTTGCTCCACTTGAATTCCAGCTGTGACACCTACTCTCATCTATATAGATCTGCTCATCTGCTCACCAAACGTCCCTGCTCTTGCCACCTTCGGCTCTTCCCTTGTCCGCCCAGGTGTGGGGGGCCTGTCCTGGCAGTGTCGTGTGGCGTCCGTCGTGGCCGCGAAGACCGCTGAGCCGCCGAGCGCAAATGGCCGACACACCAGAGACCAAACCCTGACAGACCAGGAAATCACTATGGATCACTATGGATCACTATGGTCTACCAGGAAATCACTATGGCAGCACTGTTGTGGCAGCAGTGAGGAACACAACTCTACTTTTTGGCCCTCCTGCCCGGGCACAGAGAAATTTCCAGACCTCCCTTTTTCAAAACGCGGACCACAACAGTGCTTCGACATTGCGCCGGTTTTTTGTCCCACTGGCCGAATTGGTCCTGCCAACATAAAATCTTGGATTTCATGAACTATTGTAACCCATCACCTCTGCATCATCTGTGAATAAGGCTGGACCCACAAACGGAATCCTGTGGCAACGACAGGTGACTAGTGAAATCCAGTGGGCCGTGATCGCAAATGGTACCATTTCGCAAGATGATTCACCACATAAATTTTGCTCTTGGACTGCTTGTTCTCCTCAGTTCCAGAGATCACTCACATTCCACCCGGTCCCCGTCCCCTTCGACCGCCTGGAAAGCACCTCTCGGTCTGGGTCGCCAGCCTCAAGCTCGCGTGCTCGGTGACGGAGCGCGAACCGAGCGGGCGAGAGAACCACCTGCGTGATGCCTGCCATTGACGTGCTTTCTGTCGGGAAAAGACATGTCTCTTTCTTAAACGTCATCGTTTTCGCAAATGTCGCTTCCACGGGTCATGGCTTTGGGAATGGCCTGGACTGCTTGAGTGGCCCCACCCAACAGCTTCGGGGTGCTGGGGTGCTGGAAAGCAAGTCTGGAAATCATGCTATGACCCAAGAGTATGGATCTCCATGGGCAGTGTGTAGAGCCCAAGCTGTTCGACATTGTCATACCTTGGGTCTCCAGAAATGGCTCACAGCCTGGGGCATGTCAGCCCACCAGCCGAGTCCGACTCGGCCCAGTCCGATAGCCCACCACACACCGAGTCCTCGCGTTCCTCGCCTGCTAGGAGAAGTTCGTCAAATTCGATTCTTCCCAGCGGTGACCCGAGGTAATCGTAGATCTCGATCTTGTTGTCCACTCTCATCCTAGAAGCTTTGGGAAGTTGGACATTCTCCGGATTATTATTTATTGTTGTAGTCTGAAAACAAATATAACAATATGATAAGACTTCAAATATAAGACTTTAAAGACTTCAAAGACTTGAACCTGATATTTTTTGAAGTAATTGAAGTTGTGAGACTGAAGGGACGACGACACTGTCCAAAACTATGTCCAAGGGAGGGACCTAAAAGCTGTGAATGGATGTTTCTGCAGTTATTGCTGGTATACCTGTGGCGAAGGCAAAACAGTGCATCCCCTGATCCATCAGTCCTTGGAGCAGTGGTGGCCGTGAGGAAGTGTCTTCCATCAGGAGCCCAGCCACAAACCACACAGCACCTGAGGAAACCGATGATGGCATGGTCAGCGCTTGCACCGATAGGCACTGGCGAGTTGAAGGGTCTTGCGGAGCAAGCGCATGGGTGTGCCTCTGGCGCGCTTCATAGTTCTTCCTTCTCGAAATGGCCTTTATTGTGAAGCATTGCACTGCGTCTTAAGAAAGATTGAGTGGTACTAATCGAGTGGATCTACGGTGGGTATGCCCTCTCAACATGAAAAGACCAAAACACGTCTGATCCAGATCTCCTTTCATCCAAGCCACTCCATTCGAGTCGAGGCCATCAACTTCCTCGGAACTTCGTTCGTCTCTGTAAAAGCAAAGGACCCGTTCTTTCCAGGAATAAACATTAAAGGAAAGCAAATAGCGTAGCTACGCGTAGCTGGTATTGGAAAGTGATGAGTTGTTGGAACTTCAAGTTCAAACCTACTTTCTTATACGTTCTTGATCTTTCTTCTTGTCCTTTTCTCCTGCAACCACCTGTAACAGGCGACAGATTGACCCAATGGCATGCTTTGTCGCCTGGAAAGTATGAGTCGAATCCATCGGCTTTTCCGACCAAACCGACATCGGCAAATCACGCCCAAATCAGCTGGGCAAATCAGCAGAGTCGCAGAGTGCAATCCGAGGCACTTTCCAGGCTTGTCCCAGAAATCGGTGTCACCCTTCCTGGGCGGACGGTGACACGTCGTCATACCAAGAGTGGAACAAAAGGACGACACCGACAGAGCAGTACATGTTGCTTCATCCAGTGAGCCAGACTCTTAACCCAAGCTCTAGGGTTAGCGTTAGCATGGTCAGGCTTGGTGATTCCAATTGTCCAAAGGAGCTGTATGGATCTGTTTCCCCCCCTCAAACATGGTTATTTGATTGCATTCTCGTCGAAGATTAGTTTGATATCTCGACCCCCAATCAAGCCATGGACGACTGGTGGCTCCATTAGGCTGAGTCATAGAGGCCCCAGCTCTGAGGAACGCACCACGTCCGTTCGGGATCTGTAGTTTTAACTTTACCGTTTAGGTTCAAAGGACAACGATCCTGTATCATCGCAAGAGCTGCAAGAGTTTTTTGACCGAGAGGTTCCTCTCGGTGGCCACCAACTCCATGGATTCCAACGAGGCACAGTTGGCCATAACCACCCAAGGTAAAGAAGCGGCCGAAGTTGTTCCACCTCGAAACGAATCGCCACGGTCCGTCTGTCTCCTTCAGCGCGGTCAACCACGGTCCGTCACAGCGGCAGCGCGGTCAACCCACGGTCCGTCTGAACCTGCTCTGAGGATCCAGGAGTCTTCCCCGTCAGACCACTCCAGATAGACCCAGAGCAGGGTCTCAGGGTCTGTCTGATGATAGCCATGATGGAGGAGACATGCGACGAAGAACTCTCCGGACCGGACGCTTTAGAAATCCATGATCCTTCCAGCGAGTTCCGATCCAAGAAACGCTGAGATTGTGTTGCGTTGGGGTTTAAGAAAGTATGGGCCATCCAAGAGTGAAACTAAAAGGAAGCTCCGTCCCAAAGTCACCCAACCATAATTAAGGGCTTTAAGCTTCAACACCCTGTGAAGAAACAGAACACACAGTTCTATAAGTACAGGTGGTGGCCAACTTTCTTCAAGCTCTCTATGTCCCCCGTGACAGACCGTGGCCGATGGTGAGCTCCCGGGACATCGATCCGGAATCCCTGATCCCCATCGGTTGCCTGATGGTATTCCGGTGACCTGTGCCGAAGTCCATGCGCTTGCTGGCCTGTGCCAGAGTCCGTACGTTTGGACAGCATTGGATCCAGATAGCATCTGAGACTGTATTACTATACAGCTGGGCCCAGATAATCCCACATATATGCATGTATAGACAGACAAACAGAGAAGCCAATATAGTAGATATACAGATTCGCTCGACCAAGAGAATGGACACTTTATGTTGTTATATATTCTCGACTGGAGCAACGATGCATGGGAGTAAAAGGGTTTGTTGGACGCCAACAAAACGGATTGTATAGTATCGACTTTAATTCAAGTTCCGAGGACCTAACGCCGTTATGAACCTGACCAAGGCCAAAATATGGGATGACTAATATATGCTGACTGAATTGGATTACCTCAAAGAAACCGGATCAAACGTCAAATGGAATCAAATCGACTGTCTACATGATCCTATCCCAAACGAACGTCTGCGGCAATCAAGGTTTTATCTATATCTACATTAACTATCAATATATGTTCATATACCAAAATACTGTATTTGAACATACTGGGAGCTAAACTATGAACATACTGTAGAATACCATAGTCGACCCAATACCAAGGAGCTTTTTTGAGCAAACACTCCGTCACTCCACGCCTTGCGGCCTTCGTAGAGCGCCGCTGAGCATGGATGCTGCCCATGGAGCATCACAAACTCGTCCTGGAGCATCACAGACTTCTGGGCACCCAAACCATCCATCTCAAGCTCTTCGGGTGGTGGGTGAACATCGTTGATCTCCCACTTCAAGCATATGATGGGACTGGCCCACGTCATATGTCATACGCAAGGAACACATGGATGTCCAAGCGTTTTCAAGGTTTTTTGGAGTCTCCCCTCCGGATGGAGCAACAGACCTGGACGACGCCACATGGTGAGACTCCTTGAGGTTCCCTCAGCTGGTTGCAGGGCTACCCTGCCAAGAATCAACATACAACCATTTGGTCAAGGAAAGGCATCTTCCGTCATCTTCCAAGCTGTTATGTGTGTAGCATGCGACGTTGAATGCCCCAAGGCAGGAAATATAGCGCCCTTGTCCTAGTATTCCAGGCTGCAAAGTGACGCTTTCGCAAATGAAGAAATACCCAGGAATGGAAGTTTGGAGAGGAAGATGCTGGGGGCATCTGAGAATCTCAGAAACGAAGGGATCTGAAATGATGTGAATATGCTGGGGTGTTCACTCAAGCTCCCATCAGCTCCTGCGTAGGGTTCCACTGCACATCATGCAAAGGCCCACCATCGGCGGAGGCGACCAGGGAGGTCTGCCGTGTAGCAGAAACGGAGGTGAGATGTGATTGGGGGCACCACTATGTTGCATTTGCCTGACTGTGTCCCTATGAAGATCACACTCAAGGGCCGAACAGGGTGAATGTTCAAACGGAAAGCAAGGCGTTCCTTAAAAGCAAAGCCGATATCGTGCTCAGCTGGGGCCCCAGCACCCGAATGGGGTTGAGATGTTCTGCTGGAATTTTGTGGCCCCACAGGGCCACAAAATGACTTCCACATTGTGGGTATCACATCTCGATCAACCACTTGACCTTCTTCTCTACCTGGGGGGGTCACAAGTCACAAGCTGCTTGATCGTGAATTCCATACAAGAGGCTGCCACTCACTGCCACCTAAGCCGAACACTAACAGTCCAGGTCCAATTCGCGCAAATCAACCACCAAACGGCCCAAGACGATCAGCCTCTTCTCCATCTGCACGAAGGAAGTAGAGGCTTGCATCGCCATAGTAGCTTTTTCCAGTGCTGGCCTCCTGAGATCTCGGCTCACCACCCATGGTGGAAGAGAAGCCCACCAAGGGGTCCAAAGAAACCCGAAGAGAAGCCCTACAATCCGAATGCTTTCGATTTCAGGGGGGCGTTTCGCCTAGTCTTAACAAGCTCAGAGTCCTTTCGTGCACATGAACTTTGATCATCCTGAAACGACCAAAAAGCCCCCGTAAGAGTGAAGCGGCCACCCTCTGTGCCCACCTGCCCTGAGCTGCTCAAGCCGGCCTCCGTTGAGGCTTTCACTAAGACCGCTGTGCCTGTGTTGTTCCAGGACATCGTCACCTGAGTGGCCAAAGATTGGCGGAAGGCCTGAAACCAATGCCAGATCAAGCAACACTGGGTTCAGGTCTGTCTTGAAGCTGATAGATCTGCTAATCGCGCAAGCTAAACAAGTTAGTGTTTCACGCATCAACCTCTCTTGGATCAGCCGATCAGCCTAAAGGATTTTATATGTGTTGAATAGTATCAATATGATTATCAAATATGTGTTTCGTGTGTATATTTGCAATCGCAGCAATCAATCTTACTAGGCTGAAGTAAGGCACCAACACAAATAATTGATACCTCTCTTTTGAACTCTTCATGCTAAGTCCTCCGTCATCTCCCTGGTCAGCTTGTCTGCATGCAGTGAGCGTCACTGGGTGACCCCACGGCCTGCGCCTGCGAGTGGGGCGCCGTTCAACACGCGCCGCGCCACACAACCGTTCGCCACGCGCCGAGCCTTGAAGAAGTTCTTGGTGGCAGTGGCCTCGGTCAACTGGGTCAAAAGGGCCCACTGAAAGAGCCCAGCTCTTCTCTCTTTGATCCAAAAAGCCTTCATCTGGCGGTGGTTCATACCTTGGTGAACCCATGCCAACCCATGCCCATGATGCAAACCGCGCCTCCCTTTTGAGTTGGCGTACAATGGTGCAGCAGAATGTTCATTGCAATTTGCAATGCCACTGATTCTGATATTGAACCCTGCCCATGAATCGTTTCAAAATCCAAGTTAAAATTCCCGCATACGCATGTATACGCCACATTCGGAAAACGCGTGTGAGGGGACTTCCCCGTGTTTGACACCCACCCCGCGTCTCTACCAGAGGAATCCTTGTCTGTCAAGACCGGGACGTAGCAAATCAACCATGCAATCAAATTAAGCTAAGACAGTTCTTCTGCACCGAATGTCGAGCAGCAATCTGATCAAGATGCTTGGTGCAGTCGTCAAAAGCTTGGTGCAGTCGTCTTGGGACAGAACAAATCTAAAGCTGGAGAATGTGCAAAGCCCAGATTGAGCAAATTATATCATAGAATTGGATGTCTTGTGTTTGGAATTGAGCAGCCAAGAGATGTATCCTGAGCAACGAAGGGTGTTACACGCTGGAGCAGTGTCAGTCTGGTAAACTTCGGCACCCACCGGTGGCATGACTTTGAAATTCGGAAGGGTGATCGTCATGTTTCGTTCAAAGCACCATCCTTGCCCTGCACTGTTTTTGCCCAAACCGCTGTGAAAAAAAGGATCTCAATGGTTTCCTTTGGGTGTTGTTTAGAGAGATCAGTGCCAGGTATACCTATTGGCCGTACACTTAACCGGCCCACCCTCTCTATACCAATCACCCGGTATGGTAGAAGGACATCTAACGCAGGACCTGTCCGGTCCTGAAGAACAATCACAGATCTCCGCCGATCTTTGCCCGATTCTCCGAGGTGCTCGTTTGGGTTCATCCAATCGAAAGACCTGGATGAAGGCTCGGAACCGCCACAGTTGCTCGCTCGGAACCGCCTGAAAATGCCAACCTGACCTATTGCGATCAATCGGAATTCGCCAAGCTTTGTCACCCTTCAATCTTCCCCCTAAGAATGGACCCACATATTAGGCTCTCAGGCCTCATCTTGCTGAGGTCTCTCGGCCATCTCCGCTCGCACACGCCCGCAACTCTGCTCTGCTGCTCGCAAACGCTCGTTACGCTCCGCTCAACGCAAAACACGAAACGCTCCCCGCCTGACATCGTGCCGGTTGGCCCTTCCATTCGGCGATGCACAGGGCCACATGCAGCGCACCCGCACCGCCGGCGCCGGCACCCTTGGGCGCCACCTCGAGACCGAGGCGAGACAGGCGGGGGAGATATGGGAGACATCAAATGTGGGTCACTTGTTGTTCCGGGTCCAGGGTGATCATGATGGATCATAGCTTTCTGAGAGCATGTGCAAGGGTTTGGTCAAAATATCTTGGGCCTCACTCAGCCAACAGCAGTGCAACATCTTGAATTATGTTTCAAGGCATAGAGCCAGCTCTATGACTGTAGTTGGGCACCCCCACCACCACCTAAAAGATGTGGATCATGTCACGGTCTTTCTTGTTGTTCTTTTCCATCGTTTATCGCTACTACTACTACTACTCCTACTACTCCTACTACTCCTACTACTACTACTACTACTACTACTACTACTACTACTACTGCTCCTACTGCTACTGCTACTGCTACTGCTACTGCTGCTACTCCTGCTACTCCTGCTACTCCTGCTACTCCTGCTACTCCTCCTACTCCTACTACTTCTACTACTACTACTACTCCTACTCCTACTACCAAGACTACGACTACGACTACGACTACCACTACCACTACGACTACTACTACTACCACTACCACTACCACTACCCCTACCACCACCACTACCACCACCACCACCACCACTACTACTACACCTACTACACCTACTACACCTGCTACCTGCTACCTACTACCTACTACCTACTACTTACTACTGCTCCTGCTGCTACTACTCCTACTACTACTCCCAGCCCCCACTTCTAGTCACTTCCCCCCACTTTCCAGGCCCATCTTGAAAAAAGAAAACACTCCTCAACTCCTCAACCCCAATTCTTGTCCACCTAGACACTCCTCTTCCCATCCCTTCAGCCTCAAATGCCATGATGCCCGGCGCTTCGATGCGTGAGATCTGCGCCGCTTCGATGCTCCGGCGGAACACGTGGAGCGACGACGTCGGACTGACGAGTCAGAGGAAGCGGGAGGTCGGTGTTGGGGAGAAAATGGTCATGGTGAGGCATGAGAGGTGGCTAGAAGTGTGGGATGTGTACAGGTGTTTCTTTGGCCTTTGTGGTTCTTCCCTGCGTTGCTACTCGTGGGGTGGACCCAAGTAGGGCTACCCTTCCAGAAAAAAAACCAACGTGGTCAGACCACTTCCTTCTTTCGGTGTCGATCACATAGGGAAATGGCGGCCGAATTGACCTTCGTCCAATGTGCAGACCGTACACTGATCCTCGCTCAAACTGACTCCTGTAGCTCCTCCCTGATGTTCAAACCTTTGCAAAGCCCGGTGAAGATCTTGCATAAGCTTGGACGTTTGTGAAGTCTCTGCTGACAGGGACAAGGTCGCCTGAAAAAAGGACTGACTATTGGCTTCCATCAAGGAAAAATTGCTGCAGCAGGTCGTCTGCGTTTAGGTCTAATTTTACTAGCCTTGGCGGAGTATATTCAGAGATCGCTGCTCCAGTACTCAAGTCAGTCGAGAAAAGCAGACTTCTATGGGCCATCATGGGATAGTACACTTCTTAACGTGTTGACGTGTTGTTAGTTATTAATTCTCCTTGTAGCTTCTCCTTTCAAGAGAATCCCATACAGCGCGACATGACCGTTCCGACATCTCTCCCTGAGCGCGGCACCTCTGTCTCACGGTCGCAGTTGCCAGGCATAATTTGCACGGCATCCTGGTCCACACGGCGCATACGGCGCGTGGCCGGCCATGAAGAATTGAGTACAAACATGTGAAGATCTGATCAGAAGCGGGAATAAATCAGGTAAATGTCTTCCACTATGGCCTTACTGAATTTCCCAAAGACCTTCGGTTTATGCAATATACCATGATATCCATAGGT